AGGTAAGATTTAATTAAGGCACCAAACTTGCCAGTTATTCCATAAAACTCCAATTTTTTGATAAGTATGTCATGATTGATACAATCAGAGGCTTTGTGTAAGTCGCAAAATATTCCTCCAACAAACTGTCTATTATTCATTGCTTTTAGTACTTCCTCTATTAATTTGAAAGATGCTTTTACTGTAGATGAATTAGGTCTAAAACCGTATTGATTATTGTCCATTATAAGATTACTGTCTATATGTTCATACAATTTATTATATATAACCCTTTCAAAAACCTTAGAAAAGACTGTCAATAATGAAATAGGCCTATATTTGGCTGGTTCATATTTATTACCACTTTTGAAAATTGGCTTAACGACAGCAAATTTCATTCTGTCTGGAAACGTTCCTTGGGCAAGGGATTGATTACAAATGTAAGTTAGTGGCGAAGTTATATATGGCATACTTGCTTTTAAAATTCTAGTGGAAATTTCATCATAACCATGTGAAGACTTGGTCTTCAAAGATTTGATTATGTTTCTAATCTCAGCAGTTGAGACATACTGCCATTTGATAGATTTAAAGGTAGACGTGTATTTATTGCCCAGATAGTATAATGGGCTGATGTTGGTTGGAGTTTTGTTATTGTTTAAATCATCTATAATTGTCTGAGCTACTGAGGTAAAATATTCGTTAAGTACGTTTGCAATGCACTTTTTATTCTGTATCATAATGTTATTGACTTTCAGCGATTGGGGTTCATCCTTCTGAGTTTTAGACCCAGTCTCTTTTTTAATAATTGACCATGTAGTTTTTATTTTATTATAAGATTTTGAAATTTTATTATCATAGTGTACTTTCTTAGCCTCTTTAATAACTTTAGTAAGTACTTTACAGTATTTCTTATAATACAGTTTAAAATGTGGATCATCATCTTGTCTATATTTAATATACAACTTCCTCTTTTTTTCACAAGAAATTCGTATCCCTTGAGTCATCCACGGGTTACATTTAAGTTTGGAAGTAATAATTTTCTTTTTTGTAAAACATGAGTAAAAAATTCTTAAGTAAGTATTAAGAAATACATTAAAAGTATTGTTTACATTGTCATTTGTAAAAACATCATCCCATAGTTCATAGCTTAGCATTTCTTGAAATTTAGTTATATTATAATTACTATAATTTCTCATGTACTGAGGATTACCTACTTCGGATGATATTATATTATCAATTATTATCATTTGAGCATCATGATCAGATAGTCCATTATAGTGATATCCCTGGAGACATTCTTTCTTGTAAAGGGGTCCTTCTCAAAATTTGCAAATAATGTGTTACACATCCCTTTCTTTGAGCCACATATTCTCCGCATTTCCTGCTTGTGTATTTCTGCTTTCCTCAGACACCACCAACAATCTGTTCAAGGAAATGCTTGCTCCTATCACCTGAGAGTCTTCCTGGGGAGAGGGTTCGCCTCATATGTGATTCATTTTGTTGATCATGGATGAACATTTATGGCGTTATTTTCTGATGCATCATATTTTGGCATGTCATTTGCCAAATATTTTCAACACTTCCTGAAGAAGTTGCTTCCATCTCAAATTGTTTGGGCAGTTGAGGGTCTGATGGACTGGATGAACTGGATAGATCACAGCATACCAGCAAGAATATAACTTCTTTTTAGCCACTTTCTTGTTTTACACAGTGAGGAGTATCATAATAAATATTGGTCAGCCCTAGGTTTTCCTTTGATAAACAATGTTATATTTCAGAATACACACAGGTTTCATAGGTTTCACAGGTATTATATTTTACTAATTAACAGGTAACTAGTGAATGTGACCACATACTTAATCATGAATGTGTGAATAAAGGTCCAAGATCAATAGAATGTAGGTATGAAAATTCAGTAAACTGATGTACTGTGACATCTGAAGATGACCCAGTAGTCAGGGTTGGAAAGTGTGGTGGAAAATAAAACATGCTGAATGTTAAATAGTTGTGCTGATGGTATCATAAAGTATTTCCATTTGTAATACACACAACAAGAGGCAGAAACCAAATATTGAAACAAGGATGTCTGATCATATGGACATTGTGAGGGAAGATACTGACTGACTGGCTGGCTGGCACAATGGACCCATGACCATATTATACTCTGTAATAGCTCTGGAAGCCTTCCAACTGGCAATCTGAACTCAGTTGGTTATCCGCACTATGTAGCCTTGGCATGGACTACATGGTAAACACTGCTTTCAAGAGTTCCTTTTGCTCTTTCTTGCTTACTCATTGCCATTGAAATGTGTTTGCCATTGTCTAGCAATGGCTGCATCTATTCATTCCACTCTTCCGGCTTTATATCATTAAATCAGGGGGTTGTAGGATGTAACATAAAGATGTAGTAACGAGGGTTTTGATTGTAACAACATTTTATATTATGATTGGTTTATGATGAAGCTCGTTTATAAATCACTTGGTGTTCAACACAATTCGAGGGTTACATGTATATGTTTTGCATGTACTGCTGGTATTATGGAGATGCAGCTAGTTTTTATTGTGTATGCATTCCTCAGTGCATTTATTTTTATGTAGCACTTTGCGTTCAGTGGGAGTATATTGTTTAGTTGTGCATTTTGGGAGTTGCATTTTGCAGAGTTGTTACGTTGTGATGCACTCACATACAGCCAGATGTAACTCCGAGATAATTCCCAGCACATACAACAAAATAATATACTCCAACTGAATGCAGAATTTTATATATTCCATGTACGAATACCATACATTAATACATCATAACTATATCTATTGGCACTCAATGTCACTGTGCAAATTTTGTGAATTGTTACAGCTGTATTCTAAAGAGGTGTTTGTTGGTACTCTCACACCCAGTTTTAGTGCAAGATAAAAACACTAATGCATTGGAAGATATTCAAGTTTTGACAAGATTTTTCTACTACGAATATGCATCAAATGTTTACCAACTAAAAATGGCTGAATATACTGTATGTAAGGTTAATAAATACAGTCGACTGGAAGACAGCAAAGATGTACTGAATATATATTCAGTCATGCAGTCATGTTGACTGTGAATTTAAATATGGTCTGTTGAAACTTAAAATATCTTGTCTGCATGGAAGAAAACAAAATATGTATTTGCACACAAATCCAATATCTAATCATGATTAATCAGTGCAGCTGAATTCATTTGCATTGTGGCAGTAGATGGACAACTTGAGATTTGAAGCAGGTGCCTCTAGAATAAGCACAATAGATCATTGAAGGTCGCAGTGCAGGAGCCGGTTCTTATGGCCCACCCCTTACATATATACCTCTAGAATGCAAGTCTGTTGCTCTGTCATGCATTAGTAACATTATTTCTTGATTCTGATGCATCTAGATCTTATGTTTGCTGCTTTTTTATCCATGTTCATCTTGTACATGATCTGTGATCTTGACATTGTTCTTAATGCTTTAATGTGTTCAGAAGCATAGCCATTGAGATGGGTGAGCTTGCAGGAGAAGTTGAAATTGAAGTGAAGCCCATGCTGGTGGACATCACTTTTCTTGCACCGAAGGTAAAGTACTATCACTATTACTCTGAAGTCAGGCAACAGAGTCTGTAGTAGAAAGTCTGGATGTTCTGTATGATGGCAGTTTGGTAATGACATTTAACAAAATTTAGGCATGTACGAATATCAAATTTTCAAGACAGATTCAGAGAAAGAAGTCTTAATGTGGACAATAGTTTTTTAGTTTCAAACTTCGAAAATTGTAGGTAACTGCGCTTACTCTGTACTGTAATATCTGTCAGAATTGTAATGGTTGGGAGCACAAGCATGTGTGAACTCATGAATATAAAATATTTTCGCCTTCTTTTTGCTGAAGGTGAAAAGAACATATCCCAAAAATTTAATTCTTTTAAATACGGTTTTCTATTAAAATGTTTAAATGGAAAAATCTGTTATTGAAAGGAATAAGCAGTGCAATTCAGTGTGTTCTAAAAATATGACTAGTGTTTAAATTGTGATTACAGTATAAAAAATTGGTCTAACAGGAAAGCCTCATTCAGGTCAGAATTCTTGAAAATTTTTTAAGGTATCTCAAATGGAAAAAGTCACTGTCACAAAATAAACTCTGTTAAAACTCATTTATTGGAAATCATTGCTGAATTACTGTAGCAACATTAATATGAACTTTCGTTTTCAAGGCCAGAAGCCAGTTTTCAGTGGATAAATGGTTTTTGCTTGAAAGTACAATTAATTGTTATACATCTGAAGGTGCTGAGAACAGTTAAAAGTTTGAGTTTTTACCCATCCTCTATGGCCTGAAAAGAGTCAGATGTTGTTTGACTCACCATATTTTTAGATCATTCTGTGAAGTTTTCAGACAGTGTTTGATAGATATTGTCCATTGTCTGGGGTATATTTGATATACACACTTTTGTGGAAACTGGATATGTTTCAGTCATTGCATAATGGGGGGGGGGGCGAAGAATGGAGTTTTCGAGGGTCAGGTCCAGTGATTGAGACTAGCCATTTCTGATGGGTCCATTTAAATGAGATCCTTTCTTCCTTACACCTAATGACAGAAAGGATCCAGTTCCCAAAACAATGTATATATGATGTATAGCCCAGACCGATATGATATTGTGACATGACATGCACCGTCATGTCACAATATTTATATAATCTGGGATCCTTTGAAATTGCAGTGGGTTGCTATTGATACATTATTGTGCAGGGTAAGTTGATAGGTATATGTGGAGAACCCAGGTGTGGCAAGACTTCACTGCTTCTTGCTGTGTTGGGTCACCTCCGCAAAACGTGTGGACAAGTGCTATGCAATGGAAACTGTGCATATGTGGGACAGCGACCCTGGATCTGGACTGCCAGTTTCCGTGACAACATCGTGTTTAAGGAACATTTCCAGTCTCAAAGGTAGAGTATGTTGGATTAAAGGATTGGGCATTAAACAACTTTTTCACTCCAATCATCTGCAATGTATTATGCAAACCTCAGACATTCCTGTACTCAGAATTAAGCAACATTCTTTGCTTAGTTGAGCTCTTAAGAAGTAAGCATCAAACTAACTTTCCTGTATAGTAACAAGTGCCTTGAATGTTAACTGTGCTTAATGCAGTTTTTACAGTTAGTGTTTGAAGTGTTAAATATAAAAGAAGGTTAAAACTTTAATGGCACAAGAAATTTTTAAGGGTCCTACCTAAGATGTTGTGATGTTAAAAATAACATCAAAATAATTATTACGTGTATTATCTGGAAACTTGAAGTATATATTGGCTACACAGATTAAATATGTAGGCGCTCATGTCTATAGGAAAGAAGAGTGCATAGAATCCCCCTGCACTTTAATTTCAACCCTATCTTTATTTGATTCATCACATTTTCACAAGCAAGACAGTGGTTATAAAGGTACATATACAGAAAACAAAAAACTTCATAATATCAAGTGAATCGTAGGAGTAATAATCATTACATGTGGTCTGAAGTAAATTGTACTACATAATTCATGCGCATCATGTAAGTATGATATAATTATTACATTTGATGTGAAGGAAATGCCAGTAATTTCAGTTGTCTGGATCACATGGTATAACTGATTTGGAGGAATTTCCAGCATCAAATCTTAGCTTAATCACACAGCCTAGTTAATGACGGCCTAATGTTGGATCAGTTTCAGGTGGTAGTGACCACAGAATTTTTCTTGACTGAAAGTATAGATTTTAAAATTCGAAGGACTGCCTTTTGGCACCACCAGAGTTTTATTTTCTGGTTCCAGTTAAACCCTGAAGATCACATTAATTCCATCCATATGACCAAGACAGGTGGGTAACTCCTGAGATGTAGAAGTTCCCACCTCATCAGACAACATACAGAATTTTCACAAAAAGGTCTAATTATGGCCATGAATAATTCAAGATTAATAACAAATTTAGTCGGACAGAATAGGAAAGGTCGGTATATCTTTGTATAAACTTCAAATAACTAAGTATGGCACTGTTTACAGACTCATAAATGTATACATAAAATAAAGCATTAAATTACACTTTTTCATAAACAAAGCATAGCATACAAAGCGGAAATGAATATGTGGATACATATATGTTTGCTGTTGTATTCAGGATAGCATAGACTGCTTTGGTTAAAAACCAGTAAAGAATTTCTTGTGGGAATTAAATAGCTAGCTTGTAACTTCTACTGATATACTTATACATAGATAAATAGTACCAAAATTCCTATATGCTTGAATAATTGGAATCCTCATTATTCAAAATTTCTTTGTGAAATGCAGAATGTCCATATTTAACTAACTGACAAATTTCACTAAAACCGGAAAAATTGCCCCCCNCCATACTTCCACAGGACCACCAGCAGCTTGTCCAGTATTTGTGTAGAGCTATTGCAGGAACCTATCATTCAATTGTTATATCCAACTTGTCCATTTACATGTTTCAAGGTCTCATATACAAGATCCTTCTTAAATTTACAGTTTTGTCTCTCCCAAAGTTCTTGTAACAGAAGACTGATCCTGCATGTGAGTAGTATGTATGGATTCCTGGATGATGTAGCATATGATTATGTCGCATAGAAAGAAGTAGCATGAGATAACATGGAACAAAATGATGTAGCATGAGATAACATGACAGAGATGGATGTAGCATGAGAGACTGTCATGCAGAGTTATATAGCATGCGATAACTTGGTGCAGAAGGATGTGAAGTGATTCAGCATGAAATAATGTAGTACATAATTATTCAGAATGAGATGATATATATAATGAAGTAGCATGAGATAATGTTGCACAGAATGGGGTATCATGAGATAATGTTGTACAGAATGGTGTACCATGAGATAACATGGCACATAATGATGTAAGAATGATGTAGCGTGAGATAGCATGGCAGATAATGATGTCAAGAAGCATCATCAGATTTTACAACACAATCTGATTTTAGGCATTGTAGCTATAGAAGGTTCTGCTTAATTTTATGAGCTCGTGATTCTATGGATATAATATTAACAACTGAAGATCATGAATAATTAAATCAGTGATAATCTGTGCCTTGTTTTCTCTACTGCATAACAAAGGAGGGGCTGGTTATTTATAGTCTATGGTTTACCCCTTCTGTTTTTGTGCACATTACTGGTTTAGATATTCATTTATTAGCGATTTTCTTCTGTCTTTTAAGTTGACTCCAAATCCTTCCACATTTTATTGGATCAAATTTAATGTATTTGTTTGTGTAGATATTTAATTTGGTTGCTGCTTATGAACTGATATAGTCTGTTGCTACCTACACTTTATTTTTGGTATGAGAATGTGTCTGAGAGATGCAGAATCATTTTTGGAGCTTTCTCTTTGGAGATCGCCCAGACTTTTAATGTGTTTTAAAGAAGTTCAAAACGAACGATATCCAAAATAATAGTCATGATTATTGCAACACACTGTTATCAGAAACATTTAGATATACTGTAATTGTTTGCCTTATGAGAGGCAGTCAAATGAAAATGGGTCGAAAGCCAAAACATATTAAGGAACATTTATTACCTCACAAGTAATCTCCAAAACTGTTAATACATTTATCCCACTGGGAGAAGAGACAGTCAATTCCATCCTTGAAAAAGCTTGTGGGCTGTCTACGGAACCATATCTTTATCCAGCCACACACGTCTTCATCCAATGCAAACCGATGTCCATGAATGTCTCTCTTCAGGTCTCCAAAAATGTGAAAATCACACGAGAAGAGGTCTGGGCTGTAGGGGAGATGTTGAAGCACTTCCCAACCAAATCTCTGTAGCTTATTCCTCACAGAGTTGGCAGTGTTGGGGCGCGCCTTATCATGAAGGATAATGCCGTTCAATAGCATTCCAGGGCGTTTTGATTTTATGGCACATCTCAGTTTCTGCAAAGTGTCTTCATAGCGCTGTGCACTGATTGTGGCACTATGCTCAAGAAATTTGGCAAGCAGAGGGCCTCCATTACTGATGTTGGATGACCACACGTAGCACTAATCTTACTTTCAGCACAATAAACAAATGGCTAGTGTCATTGTAACTGTGCTTTCCGAAGTCCCCACCAGATGTTCATACCGTAAGTGTTACCAACTTGCGTGCCATGTGAGTTATGCGTGGTGACCCGTTTTCATTCGACTGCCCCTTATACATAGAACAGTTTTTGTAGATCAGGAACAATGTGTTCTGCTTTCTGGTAGGTACTACAATGCTGTCCATAGTTGTTCACTCACTGAGGATATTGATAAGCTTTCTCAACATGATGACACACAGATTGATGAAATGGTGCTGTCAGCAGGGCAGAAGCAACGAATTGCTCTGGCTAGAGCTCTCTATTCCAACAAGTAAGATATGTGTTCCTCTGTGAGGGTTGTGGACTCAATACAGCACAATAACCTGAGTTGCATAGTATCATTATGTGTGACAGCTTGTACTTGTACATATAGTTAATTTCAGATCCTAGCTGGGGAATAACTGTCCTGACAAAGGCTTATGTATGGCAGTTTCTTTAAATTTATAAGCATCATAGAATGACTTGATGTTGTTCTGTATCTTCTTGTCTGATCTCTGGCTGCTTGGTGAGGATCACAGTAGGATTCTGCAATGTAAATTAGAACATTATGTAGAATTTACATTTTGTCCCTCTGGTGGGATGGAAATAAACGTAAATGTCCCTGACAGAGAGGGCTTAAAGCCTAAATGTGTGATTGAAGCCATGATGGGACAAAGTACATTGAATTCACAGTTTTGTTTTCTCACATTTAGTGAAATCCCATATTTAATGAACACTTTTCTGGTCCAGCCAAAGTCCAGTATTAACAGTGTAATATTTTGGATTTATTGAATTTCAGTTAATAACATTTAGTGTAAGAAATCTTCAACCTTCAGAACTCCCACATTAATTTATTTTGACTGTTACTATAATTGTTCTTGCACATGTGTGTTATTTCACGTCTCATTAATGATTTTAGAAATAAATTTGGTACCATTGTCTACATAATTAAATTTGTGTAGAAGTACGTAGTTACTTTAATTGAGAAGATTACAGTCCCTTGGGTTGTAATGCTGTTCATTTTGGAGGATCCCTGCATTTTGGAGGAACATACCAAGGAAGCAGCAGAAGAAGATGGCTCTCTGAGCTATATGACATTACAACCCACAACATCATGGTCATTCAGAATCACTACCATAAGAACCTGAAATCTAGCACAGTTCCTCTAATCTTTCTTCTGCATTTTATTTTCGCAATATTTTCGTATAATAGTGCAAATTTAAGGTAAGAATGTGAAAAAATAAAACAAAGATGTATTTTCAGATCCCAGTGAATAAAATTGAATGATGCAGCAAAAGGAGATGATTGTTAGATTTTAAAGGGTTCTGACAATGAGTTATAACACTCAGAATCACTGGGTTTTTGGACTGTGTCCCTTGTTCGGTATTCTAGAAACTAGAAAACACAATGTTTCAGAAATTGTATCTGTTTCTGTCTTCAGGTGAGGACCGGTGATCGATGTTAGCTGTTTCTAAAATACCCACCTGAGCAGGTGTCACTCTGATGGGATGGAAGTAAATGTAAATATTGTGTCTGCCCTCACCTGAGGACAGAAACAGATCCAGTTTCTTAAATGTTGTATGTTATGAGATATTGAGTGTAAACTGGTTTGGTTGGGGAACGCGGTAGCATAGTTGGTTGAAGCACTATGCTACAAGCTGGAAGGTCGTGGGATCAAATCCTGATGAGGTGGATTTTTTCAATTTACCTAATCCTTCAGCTGCAATATGCCCCCGTGAGCCTCAACCTCTCACAAACCTATGGACCTCCATGCCCTGTTACAGGGATACCTTTACTTTACTTTTACTGGTTTAGTTGCTCAGTCTTAACTTTTCAGATCCTTCTGTCTAGACCTATATAGTAGTCTGTGATGCAATTTATGTGTATCTTATATCTGTCACAGGGACATCATCCTTCTTGACAGTCCACTGAGTATGGTGGATGCAGATACAGCAGCAGCAGTATTTGACAAATGCATCCTGAAGGGTCTGCATGGCCGAACAGTCATTCTGGCAACTCGACACCTCCAGGTAAAATTTTCGGCTGTTATGAGGTCAGTACATGTGGCTAATGAAATTTCATTGCGATGAGGCATGATAGGAATCCTACTGAATTGTTTTGAGAAATCCAAAAACAATGTTCAGGTTCTAGTAAGGTAGTTATTCAGTTGCAAGAGATGATATTTGTCACTCACTCATGGAGCTGAGCCCTTCTTGAGAAGCTGCCAGTTGTGCAGCTACTCAAGAACTTCCCAGCATTTTATTTAACCCAAAGGTTCATTACCATGTACACAAGAGCCCTCCACTGGTCCCTATCCTGAGACAGATCAATCCAGTCCATACCATCCCACCTTATCTAAGATCCATTTTAATATTAAATTAGTGAATTTCAATACTAAACCAGGGAGAATTTTAAATGGAGGAAACTTAACACTGGCATTATTGTCTTGAGGGCACCGAAACTGGATATTAAATGAAGGACGCTCTTGCACTGAGGAATACTGAATGTGGATTTCCTGTATATAAAAATTTAATGGTTTCTACTGAAGAGGCAGTAGTTTCCTCAGAAATGTGGGAGTCATATAATTTGAAATTAGTAAGAAGCTAAAGTGAAATTATTTGTATACTCACCTATTCTCATATAGCACATTCAACAAATGCCACCATTATTATCATCAGTAAGGAATCACAGCCCTCAAAATTCAACAGATATTATTAATGGCAACAAGATTTACATGCAGCATTCACTTGCTGTACATTTTGTGACACTCAGTGCTTTTAAACCCCTGTTATTTATGAGCTTCTGGTTGTGAAGTGGAGATCTTATGAACAGGAGTACTTTACAGAAAAATTATTTTCTCCTTGATAGCAGGTTGCTTGCACTGACTTCTTCCAGGTTCTGTATATATTGTCACATGACAGAGTGAATATACAGGGTGTTTCACGACTTTAGGGCATAACTGCAGGAGGTGATTTCCTAGGTCTTTGTGATCAAAAAGGTTCATACAAACATGTGTCCGATTTTGGACGGTTACGGAGTTATGACCGTTTTTCATTCCCGTACACACCCTTGTGTGAACCGCATCTGTCATCTGGTGGGTCACTATTTTTAGCCAGCTACAGACAGAGTATTCTCGTTATCTCGACACTTGAGAGGTACCTAAGGTGTGGTGGGTTGGCATGTCCGGCGCAGTTCACAACCGAGCGGCAGCCTGTGTTGCAGCCGGCGGTGGCATTTTCGAAAATCGGCTTTAAGCACCAATAAATTCAAATTAAAGGTAATTTCACGAAGTTAACTTTACATTCATACTTTAAATGTATCATGTATGATGCTGGTTTATTATTTTGTTCTGTTTATTGTCGGTAATCGTTACCTTCCATTCTGAGTTTAAAACAGTCTTAACTCAGTAACCATCCAAACTCAGACACATGTTTATATGAACTTTTTTGATCACAAAGACCTAGGAAATCACCTCCTGCAGTCATGCCCTAAAGTCGTGAAATACCCTGTAGATAGGGTTTGGATTGGTGACTAGATTCATTCAAATCTTACATATCCGTGACTGGAAGTAATTATGACCGTTTCACTAATTCACACACTTTACAGTTCACTGAAATCTTCTCAGCCTGCTCTGCCTTCACCAGTCTTCTAGTAACGGCTTCCAGCAGTATATGTCACCTTTGGATTCCCAAGCTATACCCGACCTCAGCTACCAGCTTCTCACAGCAACAGCTCACAACTGAACTCCAGCAGTTATGTCATTCACTCACTCACTCACTCACTCACTCACTAATTCACCAACCAACTCTTCGCAGACTAATTCCTAACTAACTGTTTTACTTATAACATCTCAGCATGGACCGCATAGAAAACAACGTTCTTATTTTACAGTGTGATTGTTGCTTAGTGGTGGCATGATGTGTTCCATTGTTGCTTACACAGCCATCGGCACAGACTGTGCAGGAAACACCATTCCTCTGTTTGTGTTTTGGGCCATTACTTAGTAACAGCTGTTTCTAGTCACTAATTTCACTATTTTTGCCTAGTAATGGGTCTACATGCTGTGGCATGTATGTTTGTTGAGATAATACAGTTATTTCTTTAGTTGAACTGCAGATTGGTATTCCTTGTACATACTAGAAAGGACATGGCTTTTGCACGACAGCAAGAATGTTCAGTTGACATTTGCATGGAAAAAGTGGTACAGTGTAGATTTGGTCCTTGTATGCACCTCACTTTCCATGATCCATTCAAGGTCATTATCATCATCTTCCTCCTCCTCCTCCTCCTCCTATGCCCTTCCACCTGTGTGTTCTTTCCTAACCTGTTGTTTGCATCATGATCTAGGCTGTCCTCTTGGATATTTTCATGTTGTTAGCATATTCAAAACCGTCTTTGTGATTCTCTCTTTGCTCTTCTTAAAACATGCCTATAGCATCTTGTTCCAGTATTTGTTAATTTGACTTTCAATGTATTTAACTTCAAATTCTCTCCAATTTTTGTTATTTCTGATTCCCTCATTTGTGATTTTTCCTTCTGTGCTTTGTAAATATCTCATCTATGCTGCTGTTCATCTACTAATATATGCCTTTTTCTAAGTCCATATTTCTGGTTCATAAGGTTATATGAATCTATAATAATTTTTAAATTATAACACATTTTCTTTCTTTGACATTTCCCATTTCCAAAGCATTCCTCTAAATAGTCAAACTTTTTATTCTTCTTGCAATTTCTTCATGTACTCTGCTGCTTGTCACTATTTCACTTCCTTTATTTCACAATTATTATACATATTTTATCTTTTCTATGGGTCTTCTTGACACATGCTGTTTTTTCGCTTTATGCCAATTACATGTTCCCTTTATGACTTATATTGTACAATGTATGAGAGAAGAGATGCACACAACTCCATCAATCTGTATATTATGTGTGTGTTATCTGTGCTTTGAATTCAGAAGTGTCTGTAGTGATAGACTGCTGTGAATGGAAGGGGCATCTGAATGAAGAGGTGGTGTATCCAAAATATAATCACGTAATTTCCTAGCACATGAAAATGTGGACAGTGATTTAGTTTTTAATATCTCAAGGACAACCTTATGCAATTGTCAGTAACTAGGTGGTTCTCTGCTCCTTCTTGTGTACTTATGGAGTACATTTTCATTGCTGTACTAAGGTTGTAAAAAGAAGTTTTATGGATATTGGATGATCATTAAGAATGCAGTGCGGATATACTCATGCTAAAATTATGGTGCAACAAACATACAAAGGGGGACCCAAAAATAACCGGAAACGACCTGTTGCGCGCGCATGCTTTGTAGTTACGAATTGTGCTGCTAGGTGGTATTAGCTGGGGGTCTCCCGCGACTGTTAGTGAGCTGGCATCAGTCTGAGTTAAGTGGTTTGTCTGTGGTGCTCTGTTGTGTGCGTTCCTGTTTCAACCCTTTGTTGATTAGTGAGATGGCCGACCAGAAGGAACAAAGAGTGTGCGTGAAATTTTGCTTTCTGTTAGGGAAAACTGCACTTCACTCTTCAAGTCGCAACAAACATTCACGCGGTTTTCTCTTTGGTCATTTCCGAGCAAGCGAGGAACAAATTTTGCAGACACCCGTCTCATGTGCAAACCTTCGGTTAAAATTCGCTGGACCGTGCTCCATGAGATGTTCGTTTCCTCAGAAAGTTGGTCAATGGTCTTTCGACGATCTTCATCAATTTCACGCACATTTTTTGTTCCTTCTGGTCTGCTATCTCACTAATCGCCAAATGGTTGAAACAGGAACGCACACAACAGAGCACCACAGACAAACCACTTAACTCAGACTGACGCCAGCTCACTAACAGTTGCGGGAGACCCCCAGCTAACACCACCTAGCAGCACAACTCGTAACTACAAAGCATGCATGCGCAATAGGTCGTTTCCGGTTATTTTTGTGTCCCCCCTCGTAGCTCCTACACAGAAAGAATGAACCCCTTGTCTAAGAAGAGGTCCCATTTCTAAGCATATACATTTGTAGGAGAGAACAAAAATCTTGGTCATGAATCTTAAGGAGACTGAAGCCAGGCATGACTGGTGGGGAAGGCCAGCAGAATTCTAACGGACTGATCAAAGTCTGAAGGCTCTGGAGCCCTCAGGCAGTAAAATATCATAAGTCCCATGGGTCTTGAAACCAAGAATCACTATACTGGCGAGGGCCTGAAGCAATTTAGAAATCAAGTCAAGCCAGGGAATTGCAGTAGAGAATCAAGAGTTGTGAGACAATTGCCAGCCAGTAAGGATGTGATCATGGAAGCAGAAGAATATCCATGTTGGGAGCTGGCACTCAGTAACAACCAGTGAAGACTATAACAAACTGAGACTTAGCATGTGCTGTAGTGATTTGTATAGTGTGACAATATGTTGGACATACAAGAATTTAGGTAGTCATATTAATGTTAGTTGTAATTATGATTCCAAATCAGTATTTCTATAAGTGAGGGAAAACTGCCAGTGGCTATCTTGAATGTCAGGACAAAAACCACAGTAACCTGAAAGAAACAAAATAAAAGTCAAAAAATGTTGTATCATTATCAGATTGACTTGACATCCAGTGTATGGTGAGATTCACTTTGTGATTAACAAATAACTGCAGTAGATGAACACAGTTGGTGTGGTGTATGCAGTACATAATGCTCCTAGCTTGTTGTCTTTGCAGCCACGTGTCTCATACTTTCCTCTCTGGCAACCCCTTTCTTGAACACACAATTTATTGCAAAATCTTGATGACCTGTTCTGTGAAAAGAATCTACTTTTATTCTTCTGCTACTGAATTTCCTTGAAATCTCTTGTATTCTTATTATTTTATGAAAGTCATTTGTGTGACCCACAGATCCAATGATTAAAAACTACTTCTTTACAGTGTCCTTTTGTCAAGAATTTTTTTACTTTTTTGTTAAGACATGTCATGAGCTCTGCCTTTCACAGTTCCTGACTCGCTGTGATGAAGTGTATGTGATGAGTCACGGGAAGATTGTTAGCTCAGGCACTCATGAACATCTCATGCAGCACTGCCCCAAGTATTCCAGTCTCATCAAGATTTGCATGCAAGAGAATGCCAAGAACTATTTTGTGTGAGTACTACTGCCTGTTGATTAAAGACTGTTAAAATTTTGACATTCAGCCAAGATTTATTATGTTTAACCTTGCCATTGTTACATCACTGTATCTGGTTATGGTGTATGTCCCACATTGATGTGTAACTCAGTGTCAGCTAGATTAAAACTATTTGCCCTGCCTCTCCTATGGCATAGATCAGAGCAGTAAATACAGCAGTAGATTTTGGTGTTTTCTGTGTGGTCTGTTGAAATAAAACCCATTTGAGTACCACAGTGTGCAAAGGAGTAGAGAAAAAAATCCCATGTATAGTGAGACAGCCAACCCATTGGTGCACCTGTAAGTGGGTTCCCTTCAAAAAGAACTCCTTGGGCTGCTGCTGGAATCACTGCACTTCCACGGTCTTGGTGCCTTTCACCTGAATCTGCTTTACATAAAGTGCAGTGTTTTCTGGAAAAGGTGCATCACATGGAGTACATGTTGTCATGCAACATGACATCTGTCATGAGCATGCTGGGAACCTTTCTCTTGATACTATCAGAAAGGTGTCACTGTGTGCATTCTCCCGAGAAAACCCTTCACACAAAGAAATGAATGGCAACTTGTCCATTCTCTTTAGACATATTCTGCACCTGGGACACTGGAATGTAATGCTACACACTGTTCATGTTTTCTGTAACATGACTTCTTTGTTGCACAGCTTGTTTTTGACTGGTGGCATCTTATGGACACAACTGTGTTATCAGCTGTCACTTGCCATGTTCAGTAGCTGTGCTATGAACAAGTTTCATTTTAACAGCTCTTTCACATATGAAAATGCATATTCAAGGTCTTTACCTCTTCACTATTGAGAGTTATGATACTGAAATTGCTAGAATCGCTGTATTAACTCATTAGAAAGTCATTAGTAAAGTACTGCATGTGAAGTTGTTGCAGTTATGTCCCATTGCACTGAATGTCTGGTAAGCCACAAGACTGGCCTTCTCACAAATTGAGACATTTTTATTATGGAACAACCAGTGTTTTAGTGCATTAATTATGACAATCTTTTCACAGTAGTCTGTGCATTAATGTTTTATTTGAAAACACAGAGAAGATAACAGATGTCATGAGAGCAAATATTCAATGATAGAGTTCATCAGTCAAAACATATGCCATGCTGACAGCGCCAGACATTTTGACATCAGCAAAAATGGTAAGGATCATACAGTAGCATGCAGAATGGTGTAAGTGGACTTGTTTCAATTGTGCTTTGTTGTATGCTGATATAATAAATTTATGTAGGAAAATCAAAGGGAGGGAGAGCACTTTGAAGAACTAGGCATAGAGGGGATGGTAATATTAAATACACGTAGATGTTAAAGAACTAGGGTGGCATTACGTGGACTGCTTCATGTAACTCAGCTAAGCCACTAGTGGAAAAATTTTGTGAACAAAGTAATGAAATTTGTCTTGTGTAGAATGCCAGGAATTTCTGGATTGGCTCAAAAAGATATTAGCTCCTCAAGAGGGTCTCTACTTCATGGATTTAGTTGTTTGCTTGATTGGTCTATTAGTTTATTGGTTGGTTGATACATGCTAATTATATATATATCATCATTTCCACTGTTGTACATGTTATGGGTATAGCATAATAGAATTCTTCCATCATTTTAGATGTCTTCCAAAAATTACTTTTCCTCTTGTTTCATATAGTAAAATCTCTTGGAGGAGGGGTAATAACTATCACAGCCACACTTGGATCATTTTTACTCAAATCATAGAAATGTCAAAACACTGACAACATGGAAAATAGACTTGACAGTTTTTAATCTGTGCCCGCCATATAAATTATTTTTTCTTATATAATATCAAGACATACTGTTGTATTTTTTCGTAGTCTGTATACAGAGTGTCCCAGGAGGAATGTGCCAGGCTTTGGGAGGGTGTTCCTCATGTTAAAGTATGCCAATATAACCCAAAGCACTATGTCCAAAGTTGAACGGTTACAGAGAGAATGGCAAGAGAAGTGTGAAACTTTGACAGGTGTTACACACTTGTTGATTACCAAATACATATTAAAACTGGCAGGAATATGTGGTTTCTGTAATTTTAATAATGTATGTAACATCAAACAAACTTGCGAGTGACATGAAGCCATTAAATTGCACTACAAAAAAACTAGCACGCCATGTCATAGTTTTCCTTAGGGTTCCAAGCACTATACATGACACATGAATGGCAAGCACTGACATAACATGGCTGACTGCGCTTTTGGTATAAGCCCACTACATAACTGTACTAAAATACAGTACCTGCTTTATATTAATTGTTCAAAGTGTCCTCCGCCAGCTGCAATGCAGTTTTTGGCATGCATCTTGTGGGATTGGGTAGCAGAAGCAATGCTGCCTGGATGGTGACGTACGTGTTCTGCCACTGCAGAAATACGATCCTGCAGTGCTTCTCGTGAATCGACCTTAGGTTCGTAGACTAACGCCTTCATGTGGCCCCAGAGGTAATAATCTAGAGGCGTAAGATCTGGCGACCTTGGTGGCCATGCAAGAGGCCCACCACGACCTAACCAGCGGTTAGGGAAGGCTAGTGTGAGCCGTCATCACCACACTCAAGGAAAAACATCGATAAGACTTGTCAGCTGACAGGTACAGTGCATGGACCTGCCAGAAGACCACACTTTTCTCGGACCATTATCTCCGTAACCATTCAACTTTGGACATAGGCGTTTCAGGTTATATCAGCATACTTTAACATAAGGAACACCCTCCCGAAGTCTGGCACATTCCTCCTGGGACACTCTGTATATATATAAAACAGACGAGTTCTAGCAAATGGTAGAAACAGTTTCCTTACTTTTATACTCTTTGTGATGACAGAAGAGAATGAAAACCCTTGCATCAACACTGCCAAGTGAACTGAACCAAAACCTTGAATGTCTGAATTCATGTAATGGTGGGATTCACCTGGTCATGTCATATCCAGCATATTGACATATGTGGTACAGTCATTAAGTTCGTGGACTGTGGTTTTATCATATTACTAGGTATTCACATACACTTACACAGATCCACATCGCCCCTCAAAATAGTCGCCATTGGCCTCTGTGCAAGTCTGCCAATGTTGATATAGCTGCCAAAAACATTGCTGAAACATATTGGCAGGAAATTGCCGTATGGCGTCTCTTGTGGCATTGACAACCTCCTCAGACAACTGAAATCTATGACCATGTAGCTTTGCTTTCAAGCGGTGAAAGAGAAAGAAATCACATGGTGCAAGATCAGGTGAGTATGGAGTGTGTGGCAAAATGGTGACCTGTTGCCTTGCCAGTTCCTCTTGGACAAGAACAGAGCAATGTGCAGGGGCGTTGTCGTGTAGCAACAGCTTATGCCAAATATGTCGCTATGGGATTTGTCTAGTTTCTGGCAGAAGCAGCAGGACGCTCACAGGGAGCCTACACAGAATAATACCTGAACAGTGCTGAAAACAAGAAGTAGCCACTGCAGCACTATAGACATAGAGCGGGTACCCCTGATAATTTTAAATTTTAAAATTTGAAAAAAATTTAAAGAAATTTTCAAATTGGAATTGAAGATTTTAAAAGTGCCAGTTTTTGAAAATCAAATCAACGTGTGTAGGTTAACAAAGATTTTGTACATATCTGACAGATATCAGCGGGGAGGATTCTGATATATCGAAACCTGTTAGCAACGGAGAAATGAACAATTTGGAAGACTAGTGTTCTTAAATTTTAAACTACGTGCAGTGTAGCAGCTACATGAGAGTATACACCTGATGATGGCTATTTACGGCCGAAACATGTAGTGTAGAAGAAAGGGAGACGAAAGAACTACAATAAATTGTTGCACTTAGGATGGAGTTTGTGTCATATATTCCGGCGAGACTTGATGTTTGCCCGTTGTTCAAACTACCACATTTTCGATTTCTGCCACTTGCATTTAACTACAGTTCACAATACAGGCCATAATTCTGCTTATACTGTTAGCACACAACTGTCTCTTGCTGTGAAGAGAGATGAACTGACAGGGCATCATATTGTGCCTCAACCGTGCATTGTAGTCCACTGCAATGACGTTATGCAGCCAGTCCACGAACTTATTGACTATGGTAGTATATATGATGTGTGTGGATAGAGATACAAATAATTTATATATCATAAAACATGTAAACCTGTTCAGAGTTGCTGTCTGCTAATTCCAAGGCCTTTATATTTTTGTTCACTTAGTAAAATCTCTATTGACTTATTCAAAATAGTGTGTCACTGGGTTATCACTCTTACTCTATAATTAGAATATGTTACTGAAAACTTTCCATTTCCTAGATAAGAAACACACGACTTTTCAGAAGCTGACTGTTTCTCTGTCTTCAGGAAGAAAGTAGTACTTCTTTTAATGGCACTGTGAGCAGCTCTGGCTGTATAGCATTTAAAGACTGGATGGCAGTGTATGTGGAATTGGAATGATGTGAAAGGAATTGATCATGACCTAATACCATAACTGCTCTCATTGGTTCCCCTGGCAGTGGCCTTGTGTGTTGGATGAGTAACTAGCAGTGGTCGCTAGCATGGATAACTTGTCTCATATGAATTTTTGTAACATGGCAGCATGACAGGTTGGTCTTGTGGATAATAAATGAAAAGTGCATGGAACTTCCACATGCTCCACATTTATTTACATCTACACAGTTTAGTTCAGATTTTAACAATACATGATGTAATGTACTCCCTTTTCCAGTTGGAACTTGAGATGGATCAGTGAGAAGACACTGTTTCTTGGGTGATTATGAATTCTACACTGATTTGGTTCTGACTTGATTAAGAAAAGTTATTGATTTAGACAACACTTAAAGTGTGGAGATACTATGCCCACCAGATAAGAGGATGAAGATGGTTGATATATAATCCATCTTCCCTCAGTGTTGGTCTAAACCATTCTTATGCTGACTTACACCCCACTAATCTCCCATAGCCTGCTTGAGTTCCTCATATTTATAATTTCATAAAAGCAAGCATGATTTTGCTGTCAACTAGTCTGTAACGTCAGCTTCAAACTGTGGCTGCATTAACTGCCAAGTCATGTACAGGTTCAAAGAATTTTGCGTGAAAATGCTCGAGTCACTAAAAATGTTTTGACTCAACGTTATAGGTCTATTGTGCATCTCTGAGGGTACATATGCATGAGATATTTATGTAGATTGCTGCATCATTATCAGGCAGCTGTTAGATTAAATTTTCATCATACAGTGCCAATAAAAAATCACCCTATTTGGAGATATTATTGAACACACAGGATTTTATTTTGTGAGTTTGCCTTCTGAAGGTATGACATACCTTCACAAAAGTTTTAGGCAAAGATTATCCCATCGTATGCCTTGTGCAGCTGAGAAAACAAGGAAAACCTCAGTCAGGACATTCTCACAATTATTGAGACCCACACTCTTGTTTTAGCTGATGTGATCATACTAACACAACAGTTTCTGTGCTTGTGTCTGTATTGCAGAGGCGTATCATCCCAACAGTGTGAATCTGGAAGCAACAGGTCCAGTGGGAACTTACATGGCCTACTCAGCATCTGTGTGCAGATATATATGGATTGTGTGTGGCCTGCTATCACTGCTGCTATGCAATTTGTGTTTACTAGGAATTCCGCTGTGCGTGCTTCATGTAAGCACCATCATTTTATACTGACTCAGATCACTTTTTCAGTAAACATAAAAATACAGTGACATTTAAGATTATCACAGCTACATTCAGGGTAGAGTCAGACAGTGGGATTTAGTGATTTAGAGATGTGATGAAAGGTAGATAGATGTCTGCAGTTGCGGAAATCTGTGTACCAGAAGTTTCTAATTTCCAGTGTTCCCATTATTCAGTTTCAGAGCCAGTGGGACAAATTGATGCTGTATTTGATTGCAGCGTTTCTGCTAGCTATGTGTCTCAGTGGACTGGTGTGGAGCTTCTCATTTACCACGGTAATGTACACAAGTGCTGTATAACCCCCCTTCCCCCCCCTCCCCCCNATGTAATTTTCTGTTCTACATGTCTGAATTGTGGAAGTTAGATATGTCTGTGTAAAGGCTAATGGTCCTGTCTTCACAGTGTTAATTCTCTACATTTAGATGCGTTTTTCTATGCAACCGTTAAGTTCTGCATTTATAAAAATTGGTGCAGCTGTAGTTGAGGGTTCTTTGTATCTGCTGATTTTTTAAGTGATTTCCCGAAATATATTAATAAAAACTATTATATCTTACCTAGATCTTATTGTGCACCATCACCTTCAAAGTAGTCCCCTTGGGACCGATCCCAGCATTTCTGCCACTTTTCAGATGCATCCTTGAAGTCTTTCTTTGTTAGGGTGTTTAGTACTGTCTGCGTTTCCACTTGAATTTCCTCAGCTGTATCAAATCTTCGCCTCTTCAACTTGATTTTCATCTTGGGGAAGAGAAAGAAGTCGCATGGAGCTAAGTCTGGCGGGTACGGTGGGTGGGGAACAACTGCCATCTTGTTTTTAGCCAAAAATTCCTGCATAATGTAAGCGTATGCGGTCGTGCGTTGTCATGGTGGAGTACCCAGTCATTCGTGCGCCACTTCTCTGGACGTTTTCTCCTCATGTCCTCCCTCAAACGCCTTAGAAGATCGCGATAGAACTCTTTACTGACTGTCTCTCCATGAGGGACGAACTCCTTGTGAACAATCCCGTCAATATCAAAAAAACAGATCAACATGGACTTAATGTTGCTCTTGACTTGTCGAGCTTTTTTTGGCCCCCAAGGTGTTACAGAGGTCTTGGATGGTCAGCCTACGATCTTGCAGAATCAGATCCCTAACTTTCGCGACATTTTCTGGTGTTTCGCCCGTTGATGGCCATCCCAAACGATCGTCATCATCAGTCAATGTTCGGCCATTTTTAAAATGCTTATACCAGTTGTAAGTTTGTGTCTGGCCTAAACTGTTTTCACAAAAAGCTTCCTTCAACATTTGGTGCATTTCTGCAGCGGTTTTCCAAAGTTTGAAACAAAACTTTATACAGACACGCTGCTCTCTCAGGTCAGCCATCGCAAAACCCCAAACTCATGGAAACACAACAATGGAAATATGTTCACCAACAATAAACCCAACCACTCAACTTGACGCCGCTTGCCATACTGATTCAAGAAGGATGTGTGAGAAGACACCTAGCAGTATTTCGATGTACTCATAATCATTCGCGCAAAAAGTTCAAATTTCAGAAACTTTTGGATTGCCCCACGTATATTGTTTGAGACAGTTTCTAAAAGTAGGAAGATACATATGTCTATCACTGCACCTCTTCTGATAAAATAACGCATTGTTTTGTTGTGTTTAATTCTTGTTTGGGGCACACGGTAGTGTAGTTGGTTGAAGCACTATGCTACAAGCCGTAAGGTCGCAGGTTCAATTCTCGATGAGGTCATTAGGACTTTTTTTTCAATTTACCTAATCTTTCTAGCCATGCTGTGGCCCTGGGGTTAACTCGGCCTCTTACAGAAATGAATACCAGGAATCTCCCTGTGGGTAAAGGTGTGACTAGCACATAAGGCTGACAACCTTACCTCCACCTGTGAGCCGATTGTCTAGAAAATATGGGAGCCTGGATTTCTGACAACTCTATGTGCCTCCATGGCCAGTTACAGGGACAGCTTTACCTTCATTATTAATTTTTGTTTTCCAAATAACACTCTTATACGAAGGTAAGTCAATAATTAAGTTACAAATGGATATTGAACTTAAACAAATAAGAGTACTGATTTGAAAAATGCTTTTATTTCTCAACATAATCTCCCTGTACATTGAGGCACTTGTCCCACCATTTCACAAGCCCCGGAAAACCAGCAGCATAAAATTCTTTGGGCTGCTGTCAGAACCAGATATGTTCACACGGCTTAGCCTACCTCACAGTGCATGACAGGGTAGGTTTTCACAAAGTCTGTGCACGATTGGTGCCACGCATACTGACCCCATTACACAAAATGCAAAGAATGAGTCTTGCATTACAGCATCTCAGTTGCTACCACGATGAAGGACACGATATGCTAGCCCGAATTGTTCCAGGTGATGAGTCTTGGGTTCCCCATTACCAGCCCGAGACAAAGCGTGCATGAATGCAGTGGAAACATCCTGCATCACCTGCCAAAAAAAGTTTAAGGTGACATCATCCTCCAGGAAAGTGATGCTCCCAGTCTTCTAGGATCACGAAGGCATACTGCTCACTGAATTCCAGCCTCTAGGACAAACTGTAAATGCCAGCTCCTACTATAACATCCTCAGGAAGCTTCGTAAGGCCATTCAACGAAAGCATGCAACCTGTCATGCATTATGAGGTAGGCCATGCTGTGTGAACACACCTGGTTTTGACAGCAGCCCAAAGAATTTTATTCTGCTGGTTTTCAGGGGCTTGTGAAACGATGGGGCAAGTGCCTCAATGTATAGGGAGATTATGTTGAGAAAAAGAAGCATTTTTCAAATCAGTACTCTTATTTGTTTAAGTTTTATATCCATTTGTAACTTACTTATTGACTTACCTACATATATTAAAAGTGAAACAATCTGAGGTAAGTGTGACTATTTTCATGATTTTGTTGTTGTGTTGCATCAGCCTCTACTATAAATGAACCTGTGTTCAGCAAATGTTATTCACTCCTCAATGGTGTGGACTCTTACGCAAATCCACAGGTCCCCTCCAATGAAAATACCCTACCCTGATCTGGGGACACTTCACATTGAACACCTCAGAGAGAACTTATGACTTCTGACTGAGAAAATTGGCTGCCTATAGGATGGTTTCTTTCAAGGTCTGAATACTCTAAATGGGAGATAAGTGGAAGGAAAATGAAAAAGAAACATATTTCAGAACAATCTGTAAATACTGGTTATACGAGCCCATGTTGACCTCAGTTATTTGCCTGGTGTTCTTATTTATATCTTTATTTCTTCTTCTTCTTCTTCTTCTCCTTCTCCTCCTCCTCCATTGCTCCATCTCCCCTTGGCTGTTTCATCTCCTCCTCATTCTTGTTCACCTGCTCCTTTTCCTTGTTTACTTCCTCGGCCTAGTTCACATCCTCCTCGATCCCATCTTCCTTGTTCACCTCTTTCTCATCCTTGTTTACCTCACCATCGTCCGTCTCATTCTGTTCCTTGTTTACCCACTCCTCCTTGTCTTAATTCATACCCTCAACCTTGTTCACCTCCTTGTGCTTGTGCACCTCCTGGCCCTCATTCACCTCTTTTTCATCATCAACTTCTATCTTGCCCTTGTTCACTTCCCTCTCACCCGTGTTCACTTTCGTCTCACGTTTGTTAACTGCTATTTCGCCCCTGTTAACCTCCATCTCCTAGCTGACTTCTTCCTCCTTGACCTAGTCCAGCTCTTCCTCTTCTGCCTGTTTGTTCTTGTTCACCTGTTCATCCTTATTTTCAGTCTTTTTGTCCACCTTGTCTCCACTCACCTCCCTCTTCTCTTCCCTTCCTCCTCATGTACTGTAAATAATCAGACAGCTGTGACCTTAGCCAGGTGCCTTCTGCATGGAAGAAAAGCGGCAGACTTGTTTAATCTACTGTTAAGGTGACGCTTTGTATGAGCAGGTTGTGGTGAGAGTATCACAGCGGGCACACAACGTATGGTTTGGAAAATTGTGCAGGGCTCCTATGGGCTATTTCCGGGCTTCCCGTGCTGTGATGTCTGCCCTCAACTTGTTCTCTCTAGATGTGCGAGATGGTAAGTTAGAGGACAGTGCAAATAGACTGCAGCTCTATGTATTACACAGGATCATATTTACAGTTATGGTGACAAACATGTTTGAAGTAGGAACATTCATTCTTTTATTTATTCCTCCTCCTCCTCCTTTTCTTCTCTTCTGCTCCTCCTTTCCCTCCTCCTCTGTCTTCCCTTTTTCCTTTTCTTCTTCACTTCCCTACCTCTACTTTTTCTTCCTTCCCTGCTTCTCCTCTTCTCCTTCCTCATCCTCCCTTCTCACCCTCCTTTATTCTACATTTTCCTCCTCCTGCTCCACATACTAAGCTAAGAATCCTCTTGCACTTCCAATAGATATATCTGTATTTGCCCACCTGTCTAAATCCTGTATTTTCACAGGGCTTCTATTTTGTTACTGTGTTCATAATTCTAGCATTCTTCATATGCCATGCACATGCACACCATTTCTCTGTCTGATCTTCTACCATTTCATTTAAACTTTTGCCCTTCAGCTGAGCCCTGATGTGGTTATTTCTTGTTGTATAAAATAGTCGTCTAAGTGAAATTAACCTGTTCATTGTCGTAGATCAATTCCACCATATGACAGACCAGGAAGGAGCTGTTCCACAATATAAAACATGTGTAGAATTGATTTGTTGTGTCTGAAAATCAACCACCAGAACTTCAAAGTTAGAAAATAATGCATATTTATATACACGTATGCAGTTCTGAAGTATTGACTTCATACCAAATTTTTCACTCGCTTCTTCACGTTTCTTGCTTGGCTTACTTTTCATCCAGAAGACGGAGATTATATGCTCCCCCAGAATGTCAGGCTTTCTCCGAACCACATAGCATTACAACCCATGCATTTTTCATGCTGATATTTTTATTTTTGTAAAATCAATTATTAAGGAGCATTAAAATGTACAATGAAAGTGAGCAATTTAAGACAATATGTTCTGTGACAATTGTATGAAAGCTCTGGTGGTGATTCATTTCAGACAGTGTGGAGAATCAGAGATAGATTTAGATTCTAGTTTTAACATACTACATAAGAATGAACTCTATTATAAGTATACATGTAAGTGCCGTGCAGATTACAAGTAGGGGATGCTGACATTAAAGTTGGTTGTTTTTGACCAATATAAAATGTTAGGGGCCAAGCATATGCTGATTTGCTTGAGACTATACCCACCTTAACTGGCGGTGGGGATGGATCTGTATGGACAGGACGTGTTATTTCCAAATATGGACCTCTGTTAGCTATCGAACATCTCACCTGACGTTTCCACACAATCGGCTTATAAGATTGTACCCTCTTAAATTTATTGTAAAGGTGCTGTAAGATTCTACCTGTGATTTGTGTTCACTAAACATACATAGGTCCTTTGCATGTTGCAGTTGATGTAAGACTTCCACTGTTGTTTCGACAGCTGCTCGAGAATGCAGGCTTCTTTTTGTGCGCCGCCTTTGTATTGCTGTACATCTCGCCGTACAGTCTGGTAGTCATATTTGTTATTTTGTTGGCCACTGCTGTTGTCCTGGGACTGCTTTACAGGTAACAGGGTCATGTGATTTTCACATGCCACTCTATTTAACGCATTTACTGCCAACCCCTGATGGGTCCGATCGTACCGAGTGCCAGTCCTGATCCCATCATGTGATGGGGTGTTGTCATTGTGTGTGTGTGACTGGCATCTTCCCCTATAGATGCCCTCATGTTCCCTTCCAGTTCTGTTTCAAATGTAGGGAGTTCAAAGTCCAGTTTTGAAGTAAGTTGGCACAGCAGGCCAGATCAGGCCAGACCAGGTCAGATTGTATACACCATTGTCAGAACCCTTATGAATTGACTCATAACGTTAGGTTTCACAGAAATTTATGAAGAAGTCCCGATGAGAGATTTGAAGTTCTCATGACAGTATCTAGACTTTTACTGTTTCCTGGGATATGACACCTAATTTAACAGACATGTACTAATATTTTGAAGGAATCTACGTTCTCAATTTTACATCCTGGGGATGGAGGCAATAGGTTCCTTTGAAACATTGCAACTTATCTACTAATCTACATTCATTCATTCATTCATTTATTTATAGTTCCAAAAAATCCATAGAGGCATCTGCCTCAGATATAGAACAAGTCAACAATACAATATAACATATAAATATACATACATAATCAGATAGTCATCATTGTCAAAATTTAAATACTCAATACAACAAAACTACTGTACAGCAATACATTCCATATATCAAAATAACATATAAAATTACATACACGATCAAAAGACCACCAAGATCCTTAATATAGTAATATAAAATCTATTTTCTTAATATATAATACACCTGTATCACAACAGTAATAGCACCTTTTTCCTGAGTATTTATTCCATAGTCCATTGCATTCTAGCAATAGGCAACAGTGTTTATTTAAATATACATTTTATTCATTCATTCATTCATTCATTCATTCATTCATTTATTACAGTTAAAAAATCCACAAAGGGGTCTGCTTCAAATATAGAAGAAGTCAGCAGCGCAATATAACACATAAATATACGTGCATAATCAGATAGTCATCATCGTTATCAAAATTTGAAATACAGTACAACAAAACTACTGTACAACAATACATTCCATATATCAAAATAACATTTAAAATTACATACATGATTAAAAGACCACCAAGACTCTTAATATAGTAATATAAAATCTATTTTCTTAATATATGATACACCTATATCACAGCAGTGATAGCACATTTTTCCTGAGTATTTTATTCCATATTCCGTTGCATCCTAGCCATGGGCAACAGTGTTTATTTAAATATACATGAGGGATCAATCTTTATTCCAGCAGTAGTATTCTTCAACAGTATAAAAAGAACTGGTGATAAGAAACTTCTTTAACGCCACTTTAAATCCAGGAATGTCACAAGATAATTGTTTAAGCTCTGGAGGGAGGTGGTTACAAAGTTTGATACCAGAATACCATCCACCTTTCTGAAATATCGTTAAGTTTACCACCGGAAGATGCAAGTCATGATTAAATCTGGTATTACGTGTGTGGACATCAGAGTTTGTTATATAGCAATCTCTATTCTTGACAACCAGCATAAGTAAAGAAAATATATATTGAGACTGAAGTGGCAGAATATGTAACTCCTTAAATAAATTACGGCACGAATCTATATTACGCGAATTGGTAATAATTCTTATTATTCTTTTCTTTATTTGAAATATGATTTTTGCATGAGCCGAACTCCCCCAAAATATTATGCCGTAAGATATTATTGAATGAACTAGGGAGAAATAAACAGTTTTTAGGCACTTCAAGGATAAAAGAGGTTTTAATACTCTAATTACATTGGATGCCTTATTTAATTTGGGTATCATTTGGTCAATATGGGTTTGCCATGACAGTTTATGATCAATAACAAAACCCAAAAATTTTGTAACCTCCACATTGGTTATTTGTTTTTTCCCACATAGTATATGTAAATCTAAAGCTCTTGTGTTTTTAGTTACAAATTGTAGAAAGTAAGTTTTTGTAGGATTTAGTAGTAATAAATTACTACTAAACCATTTATTTAATTTTTCTAAAACTATATTTATATCTTTTTCAAATCTTGGGGTGTCAGGATTANAAGGCCTTGTGAATGTCATCACATTCCAGAAAACTGATCTGTAATTGAAATGAGTACATAGTTGCACCATGTAAGCTATATAGCTCAGAGTCTTGATCCAGGTTTTGATGGTGTCTGGAATTAGGAAATTATGAATGTGCCACTATAAGCATTCCAGCTGCATGATGCCAGTCCAGTTAATGTTTACTTGCATGCCTAAAGATGACCTTATTATGCTCAAAATCTTCATAGTGGAATAGCCTCTGAGGCTTTAAGAGGCAAGATGTATCTCTAAGGGATTCTCCTACTTTAATGATAACCCCAGCTTCACATAGCTGACCCTGTTTCCACATGTAAGACTGCAGGGGTCAAGTGCTGTGGCATACCCAAGCATAAGTATGAATGAAACATCACTGTCTGATTCAAGATAACAAAATTATAGTGGTAAAATCGTCACATCTGGTGAGTGGGGAATGTGCTTTCCTAAAGTTGGATAAAGTTTGTATGAGAAGGGTTACAGTCTTGTGGGTTTTAATGCTGTTTAGCTCAAAGAGTCCCTGACATTTCTGAAGAATATACCATCTCCATCTTCATGGTTTGAAGAATAAGCCAAGCAAGCAGACAGAGAGAAGCAGATTACATGGTGTCACATCCCAAAAACAATTCACATCTTAGTCACTCTCATACAACCCTCAAATCCAGCATACTCATTAACAATCTCTTTACACTGGAAACTGCCGGGTTTTTGATTACTGAGAGATAAAGAGATATGGCCAATAAGGTTTGCCCACATTACAAAATGCTGAGCTACAATTGTGGTTGACTTGTGTGCAGGAAATGTCTACTGAAGTTGCATGAAATGGAAGTGATGTCACGTGTCCCACTGTACCAGCACCTGATGTCCACCATAACCGGCCGGAGCACCATCCAGGCTTTTGCCAAGGAGAAAGAATTCATTGCTGAGTGAGTTACTTTATAAATATGCAATAACTGACCTGTTAAAATGACATGCCTCTTAAGAAGAGGGGTTCCATTCACTTTTACTTGCATCACCAGTACAGCATGATGTGGCACAAGATCACTGGTACTGACAGTAAATATTTTGTAGGTATGAATTTTTTGAAACATGATGTTAAAATGAAGTGGTGATTCCATTGCTTCACTGACATAATGTTGACCTTGTGGGTGTTATGTGACCCATTGTAACTGCCACTAACAGCAAACATTTCATGCAACGGTTGGTTTCAGTTTCAGCATACAGAAAGCGCTGTTTCATCTTATAAGCTTATAAATTTGAAAATGTAGGAAAGGACATTAAGTGAACGTCTTTGAGTTCTGGCCTTTTTTATACACATTTGCTTGTCAACACAGCAGAATAAGTGCATTATAATCAAGATGAAACATTTGTCTATACCAGTTGTTATCAGCCTCAGTTTGGTCATGGAGAACATTCAGATGGTGATGGGTCATGAACATATTTTTTTCTTTAACAGGCAAACCTTATTACTCATAAAGGTGATAAACGTGAAAATGCATGAAAAATAAAATATCATAATATCCAGTATCATTGAGTATGAAGTCTTTGTCATTCAGTTACCTTTAATAGTGTAGAGGGGTTGAATGTATTTGTCTGTAATATTTGTGTATTGCATTTAATGAGCTCATGAGTTTATTAATAGTTTGCATGGTGGCTGTTATGGCTGCGATCAGACTGTATTGTTCATTGTCGCAGCATCTACTGTTTCAATTTGTCTAATTCCTTTTCTTTGTCACCATGCAAGAAATAATCCAAGAATTATTGTCAGAGCCCTTTTACTATTCTTGGTACACTGCTCCAGCATAATCTATTTCATATCTTGATGTATATTGTGGACTTAAATATCCAGTTCATTCCATTTCTCTTTACAACCATGTTAAGATTCTCAACAATCCTCAGTACTGTACAGGTTACTTTTCTGTGTGGTTATATTTAAATATATTGCTATTATGTGTGCATTTTTATAGTGTCATTGTAAAAATAATTTTGGGTGGGGGATAGTGAAATAAATGAATAAAAAATGGAATGTCTAAAGGAAGATATAAAATATCACTTGAAAGTGGTAAATGACCGCTAAGTATTAGAATGTATGATCACACATTAGCACAGAGCAGCTAGAAGTTTCAATATTCCACTAATAATAACATGCCCCATGAAGTTAAAATGCAGAACACAGTACCGTAGAATTTAGAATCACACTCTCCAAACGAGTATAACATATTCCCTAGAAGAAGTTGGAACATGCCACTGTGGAAGTTTACACATGTCTGTAGTGGAAAGAAGCAGAACCGAGACTTGCCTCTTGAAAGCAGTTACATCAGAATGTGAACACATGTTGCAGTTTCACCAGGAAGTGTGATGACAATGCCACTTGCATGTATCTGCTGAGTGCTGCATCATGTTGGCTAGCCATCAGAGTGCACGTCATTGCAGGTGAGTGGTGCACACATGAAACACAGCAGCCTAGAAATCAGGTCATGTGGAAATGCTAACCTAACTATATTCAGTCCCTCTCTACTTCATGGTGATGCATGCTAAGAACTGCTGTAGCATATAAGCTACACAATGCATACAGCTGATTCCAAGCAAAGCATTAGAGTTTTTATTGAACGATGAAGAAAGAATTTTTTTAAATTTTCTTCAGTTATAGTGATTTGGCTGATTACCCACCACTGTCACTACTAGCCATTGCTGATAAAAGTTTGTTGTTTGATTCTTATTTTGTTCAGACAAACCCAATTTAATAGCACAAAAGAAAAGACCCACTACAGAACTCAATACAGTAATATGAAAATGTAATATAGATAGAGGCATGAAATGTCATATCAGATAAAACATTTTAATGAGAAGTTGATGCATCATTCTAGCAATTTTCTTTCAATTCATACACAGAAGGACTTACTGTGAATATGGACTATAACGTTGGATATTCTGTTACTGTCAGACACTGGAGAGAGAATGGGAAAGTACTGAGACAGTGGCAGCAATTTATAGACTCGTAATTCAGTTAGGACAGAGCACTTTACAGTATTCTCGTGAATTTGGCTTTCTCATGAGACCAAATAATCCAATAAATATACTCTTAAACAAAATCTACATAAAGTACAAACGTGTGTGATGGATTTCCTCTTCAGAATGATTTATGTACAGGTAGGGCCTTAAGGGTGTTATGCTCTACTGTTGCCACCCCTGTTGTACATAACTAGTGTGGGGTTACCTTTACCTGAATTCTCCAATGTGGACACCCTACCCTAGGGTGGTTACAAATGGAAAACATAGTCATATACTCGTACGTAGGTCAGTCAAAAAGTTCCCGGAATTCCCCTGCAGACGGAGAACGAGCTATAAGATAGTGCACACACTGTTGTGGTGGGAAGCTCAGCATGTCTGCTCGCAGGTGCAACAGGTCTGGACAGGTTTCAATGTGCAGTGTCATTATGGTTCGCTTGAATTAGACGTGAGTGTTTGTTATTTGACACATTGTCACAGTTCAAACAGCATGCGAACATCAAGTTCACGTGCAAATTGGGAAAATCTGCTTCAGAGATGTTATCAACCCTGCAGCAAGTTTACAGTGATACTGCACTAAAGAAATCTGCAGTTTACAACTGGTTTTCCCGGTTTAAGAATAGGCAGGAGATGTTAGATGACCAGCGCAGCGGGAGACCTTCAACATCCAGAACCAAAGAAATGATTGGAAAAGTGCGACAACTGATTCGATGTGACTGAGGAATGACCATCGCGGAGTTGGAGCAAGAAGTTGGTACTGTTACCAGCCATTTCTATGTGCAAGTTTTGCAGAGGTTGCACAAAGCAGTTCGGAGGAAGCGGAGTGACAAGTGGCAGGGACAGTGGTTTCTGCATCACGATAACGCATCAAGCCACACATCGTTTGCTGTGCAGCAATTCCTCACCGAGAAAAACATTCCTGTCATCACTCAACCACCATACTCTCTGGATCTCGCTCCGAGTGACTTTTGGCTGTTCCCTACTCTGAAAATGGACCTCAAGAGGACACGTTTCACAACCATGGAGGACATCAAATCGAAATCAACGGCTGAGCTCCGGAAGATTCCGAAAGAAGCCTTCCACCGCTGCTTCCAACAATGGCAGGATCAATGGAGCCTGTGTGTGTGCGTCCTACTTTGAAGGTGATTAGGTAAGCATTGCCATATGTCCTACCATTAGAGTGCTATACCATCATTCTGGGAACTTTTTGACTGCCCCTTGTGTCTTACCAAGGCCAAACTGAAATTGTGGAAGAGCTGCTCAGGCAGTTCACCTGACTCGAGCTCTTGGCTGCAGAATTGTTTTATCTGAGCAAGCAGGCTGGCCGTATGAGGTCAGTTAGGTCAGTTGGTCGGTTGGTTAGCTATTTAATTATAGGAAACTGATAAAACAAATTTTCTCATTTTAGTTATGTAGCTTGTCACTGTTGTCAGAGTTAATAGCAGGACTGGTATCTATGTGGGCATCACAGAACAAGCCAAAAGCAGAAATATTCTTCAGTGGCGGCTCTCTTTATTGCTGTAAGGGAAAATTGGAGTCACTCGAAACCAAATGCCCAGAGTGCAGGAATGAGATTCATCAGACATGTTGCTCTTTACTTCAGAATGCTAAAACAAATATCTTTATATGTACACGGTCAATTATTCCCATGTGAATTGTCTGCTCTGTGGATTAACTGCAGTACTCTTGAAACCTCTTAGTTTATTGATTGTAGTTCCCTGTAAAGATCTAAGTGTTGCCTATTAGGTCTCTTTCAGTAATATGGATTGGTGTTGCTTTTAAACAGTTTGTAGTAGATTGTACATCTCGCCCTCCTACAGCTTTCACTTTTATACTTTGTTGCTTTTTAAAGGACTGACACTGAACAAGGTTGGCTTTCTTCTGTCCAAAGTATATGTCTCACTCCTCAGTGACCAGTAGTAAGACTGTTGATGTTCATAGTTGAAAGCAGTGTGGATAGGGCTATATCAAGGTTCCTGGATTTTTTTTTTTTTTTATTATCTGCCATACTTCTCCCCTCCATTATCTCGGGCAGTTGAGAGCCTGGTGAATAATATTCAAAAATTGTTTTAATAATAACATCAGTAACGTCTAATTCATTTTATTACCTTCAAATCTGACACGTTTACAACTGCATTGATTAATCATACTTCAGAATATTAATATAATCTGATACAGCTTTTCTATATGACATATCCATCAGATCATTTTAATTGTTTTATGTATCATTTCTAATCAAATGATACATGAAAATAATTAAATCAATCTGTGAGGAACTACAAAATATCTCATTTTCTCTCACCTTATGTATATTCATGGCCCACTGCTATATCACTGGTGAGTCCAGCTTCTCGTGAAATTAGACATTTATATATTGCATTCTGTACAGTTCTCATAAATTATGTTTTGCACATGATGGAAAGACAGAAATAAAATATGTCAAAAGAAGAAAACATGTCTTCCTGGTAGGCTCTAGTGCTCCTGACCCGGGATGTCAACACTGTAGACCAGTACTGAGTATTATCACATGTCAGGTGTGGCATTTGAGGATCTATAGGCAAGACAGTGGCCCTCACAAACTACATAATATTTATAGTCTTACTTGGTATTGTACAAGACTTCAGGTTCTCATGCTGGTTACTATGAAGATTACTGTTTTCTGGGATGTGACACTGTGTAGTATCATAAAACAGGAGCTGGGTCCTGTCCTTCCTCTCTCTATATGTACAGTATACCACTTCTACTGGAAGATGGGGCAACAGGTTCCTCAGAAACCTCAGAAACAATCAATCACACTATACAGCATAAAATCTCAGAAGAGTGTCTCAATTATATTTCTGTTTCTAACATGTTTCTTGAATAATAAATGTGTTTGGCAGCCATAACAGTTGGTCTGACAGCAGTTATGCTGGTTTTTGCAACACCTGTCCCCTGGTCAGACCATATCCCCACCGACTGGGTCACAGGTCTTGCGCTAGTGACTGCTATGCAGATGAGTGGCTGTCTGCAGAGCATTCTGCATTCATTGGCCGAGTCTGAAGCAAGGCTGAAGATTTTTGCAGAGTCCAGCCGCTGTATAGAGGTGAGAGGATTATCGTAAATTAGGGCTTACATGCTGGAACTTTTGTGTAGTCGTATTATTTAGGTTGGCTGATGTTTCAGGCAGAAACTTGCATAAGAATTGTGGTGTCAGAATCAGAACCTGCCATGTTTAAGGACTGTACCTTGAAAGAAGGTACCTCACTGCATTTTTTCTTTTTTGTTTATAGACTGTGTTAATGCATTAGAATTCACTGCAAACTTTTCATTCATTGATGCACTAACACTAATACTCCTACAGTCTATTTCTGCAAAACAACAGTTTCAATGGATGGCTAGCTGTTTGTGCATCAGTAATATGCAACTCTATTCTTATTATGTTCTCTGATTGAAAGAAACAAAGTATGGAACCAAATGGAAAAGTTATTGCCTGCATTCCCTTTGTATTAATTAAATGCATTTAAAAGTACCCAGTCCTATATGGAATAAATACTAGGGGATAAATTCTACTGAGGTATACCAGCTGGTGCTTGAAGCTCTACACTGATTTCAATATGATGTTGAAGTTGAGGATCTTTATCTTCATGCAAGTTCATGATGTAGCTGAACATGGCAGTGGGGTTCACTTGTAAATTTTGTAGTTAACAGAATGATAACCTTCGCTGTCATCTGACAGCTGAAATTCACTGCATGCCAGTGTTGATCCTGCCAAGTGTCAAACTCTTTCACCATATATAAAAATATTTTTTTTTGATGCACATACCACTCAGAGGGAATCTAAATGTACAGCAAGTGTCAGATGAGTAATTCTGTCTTCTGGGATATAACGCTGTGTAGTCCATTGAAAGTCAACCGATGTTTTAGAGGAATATAGAATATATCACCTCAATCTTCAGGGTCAAATAATAAGCCAAGCAAGGGACCAGCATGAAGCAGGTAGCAAGCAGAGCTCTGCTTGGCTTATTATTTGACCCTGCAGATGGAGGCAACATGTTTCTATGAAACATTGGCTGATTTTCAACAGACTACATAGTGTTATATCCCGACAGATAGAACTCTTCATAATCAGTCCTTTTAGAACCTCAAATTGTACGATGTCGGTTAGCCTTTCCTTATTCTCTTCCATTTCTGTCTCAAATGTAATAAGTCCAGAATCTGTAGTTTCCATGGCAAGTCAGCTGGCCCAGCAAGTGAACTTCAAGTGCAGGGGCCTGCGAGTGAATGTAATACCTAAAGTTATATGAAGTCAGAGGTTTTCACCTGACGAAACTTACAGGGAATAAAAAGTGAAGACCAAACCATCAAGTCGAAACGTAAACTGCTCCTTGAAAACTGGCCTACAGATGGCAGCATCACATTTGAAAATGTAACGACAGTGACTTCTCCAGGTGTCTTGCAATCCCTCGATGGAATGTCATTCAGAATTGAAACAGGACAGAAAATAGGTGAGCTATCACTCTGCTGTGTGGCAATGGAGCTTGTGAGATTAGAGGTTCTCATGATGGAAACTATAAGGGTGAACTTCTTCTGGAATGTGACATCATATAATCTGGTATGTCATTACCAACATTTTGGAGGATCCTGCTGCCACAATATTCAGGGTAGAAGGGTAAGACAAACATGCAAGAATTCTAATGATCCACAAGACTACATGGTGTCACATTGCGGGAGGCAGTTATCTTATATACAAGTACATAGATTGGATGCTATAAATCACAATTTTCTTAATACGAGGGGGTACCCAAAAGAAACCGAACTTATTTTTTTTTNTTACCTCATCGAAGGTACCAACTTCTTATTGTCATTTCTTGATATTATTTCTTTCCTGTCCTTCTTCTTTCTTATCTTTTATTCTTTTTCTGCCTTTAAGGTGTGAGTTCATTATTTTGTTCCTTGCCATTATATCTTTCTTTCCATCCCTTTCTTTGTTATTGTTCATGAGGACACAAAAGGAAATCCTATACAAAGTGCTTTTTTTG